TATCGGTCTCGGAATTGAAAGCCGTCATTAGGGGTGTCCCAGGGTACGAGGGCTATCTGGCCCCACATTATCGGGTTTAAGGCGGTCTTCGGAAGCCTCCGTATCAGCTCGGTTGCACCACTTTGACCCGGCACACACGCCGCCCATAGATCAAGCGGAGCCCTTAGATCTCGACCCCTGCTAGGGGCTAACCATTAATTTACAACCCGCGGAGTAACCCCGGTTACCCACCCCCACCCCAGACCTGGGCCTGCTCCGACTCCACCCTTTGTGGCAGATATGAGCTACAACCCACCCCCGAGGGTCCCGACGAGACTCCTACGCCCCCGCGGCCCTCCCACTCGCGTAGATCACTCTCCGGACCACTCACGCCCCGCGAACCCACCCCGACAGGCTCCCCCCGGATTTCGAAGCACCCTCGAGATATCCCTCTCGGCCTATTTTCCCGAAAATGCTGAAATTCTCCCAATCGTGGGGTCGCCCACCATCCTGCAGTGAAAACTATTCCGGGAATGTTACCAACCCCCGGGACCCTAAAGTACCCCAGGAAGGGTAAGCTTCTCGATGACGCGAAGCCATTTTTCAGATGTGGCGTAAATGGTATTGTTAATGCATTTCTCGGATATTTAGTTGTGGAAGTATACGAGAACCTCGGAGATGAACGAAGTTTAGGGGTGGGTGCGGAGAAAGGGGCGCTCGAAATAAGTTTTCGCTTAAGGAAATGAGAATTTTGGAAGTAATTCAGAATTATTTAACTGGTCCTCGGTGCCGCGAAACTTATCTCTATGGTGAGGGTGGTGGGAACGGTTGTCTAAACCCTCGTAGGGTGGGTGGATGGGTGGGCGTCGCGACGCTCGCGCCCATTCGCTCGGCCAGCTTTATTTCCGCTTAATAAGGGGGTGTGAATAGGCCCGGCTGTTGCTTCCGCTTGATAACTCAGCGGAAGTAAAGTTGTTCCACTCGTTCCGTTTCGTTCCGTTGTCCAGCGTTTTGCCGGCGTTGAAAGGGATGAATAATTAGGGAGGGTGACGTCGGGGGACAGGGTGGAGGAAGGAAAGTTTCTGGTCAATTAATTAGACAGGGAGGGGGCGAGAGTAGCCGAGGAATTATTCGCCCTATCGTTCCAGCGGCGAGCAATCGATTACCGATTTCGCGGCCAACCCCTATCCGACTTGGGGTAGTTGAGATCTTATCCGAGAAACCAGGGAGGTCCGAGGGATGGAGTTCCAGGTACTAGTTTCCTTACCTTGGAGCGGCGTACGTAAAATCGACTTAATAGGAAAAAACGTTCAAAGACGGTCTTTAAACGCTAAACGTCGACTCGAAGGCCAAAATAATCAGTTTTGCAGGGGCAACCTCAGCGCAACTGGACATTACGTCTTTACGCGGCATTAACCACCCTCCGGCGTCCGTTAACCAGGATTCGTTATCATGCGAATTAAGCTAATTTCCGCGCGCGTTGTTTTAAATTGAAACGCATAATTAATGAGTACTTTTTGAATCGCAACCGCATGCCTTCGGGGGTGGCAGAAATTCGTACGATAATCTCCCCTGACAGGGGGTAGGTATCTACCGAATTTAATGCAGCTGTTTTTTATGGTGTAACGTTCAGTGCTGTACGGACACGCCGCAAGCTCTCGGGGAGTTTCCCCTCTGGAAAAAAAATTCCCCCTTGGCTTGACGACGTCCTCTCATTTCCTCTACTTAAAAACCGGTGATTAGTCCGATGTTGGCATTTACCCCGCAGTCCTGTGGGCACGGTGGGCGGCCGGGGGTTGCGGATGGCACTTTAATCCTTCGAACGGCCAACCCCTAAATCGCGCCACTTGTTCGTCCAAATAATCGTCCTTGCGATTAATCTCTCTCCCTCGCCTCGTTCGTCGGCATCCGCCACCATCCACTACCATCCGCCGTCCACCAGGACGAACCGCCATCCACCACCACAGGATTCGCCGATCCTCCGCTAACCGAAGTAATCTTTTTCACCCCCGCGCGTCCACTCCACCCCATCGATTCGCCGATTCCACCCCCAGGTACACCATTATAAAGTCCCCCCCATTTTCCGATTGACCCGACGGTTTCTTCTCCCCCGTAAGGGAAATGAACTCTCAATTAGTTTTATAATTACCTAAAGTTTGATTAAGCGCAGGTGAAATGATTCTCAGATATATGACAGATTTGCGAGAGCTGGGGCTTTGAGGACATTTTAATCCTTGCACTTTATAGAGCAGAAGGATGATCATAGACAGGAGTATGAGATCAGCGGTGAAAGTGAAGACGCATTCATTTCTCTGGTAGATGTTGTATGTTAAATGCAAATTAGGTTGTTCAATCAGAAATTGCGTATTTTAATCGTTAAAGAATATGACGGAATTCAAGACCCCGTGGTAAATAATCTGATAGTGCCTAGGTATTCATTCAACTTCGCGGCTCCTTGGAAATCGCTTCGTCGAGCCCTGGATCTCGGAAAATTGAGTTCTGCAACGAGGACAGCCCTTTCTCAATTACAGAAGCCGTTTAATCGGGCGTCGGTCTTGCAGGAAGTTCGGTGAAAGGATCACTATGCACTGTTAATTTCGTACCGCGTAACCGGGGGCCGTTTAGTTTCCGGCACTTTTGTGCCGTCGCAATTAAGAGCCATTTAATTGCCCGTTACGTTTGGAGTGCGTAATCAAGAAGCATTTAATTGCCCGGCACTCTTACACCGTGTAATTAGGAGTTCCTTAATTACCCGGCACTTTTGTACGGTGTAATTAGGAATTATTTAGTCCCCCCGGTACGGCGTGTATAATTCCCCATTACTTGATTACGCGGAGGAGGTCGTGCCGTTTGATTCACGGTTGAAATCGACACGGAACCTTTTACGGCGCTTCGCGGCGACGACAGTCGGGCCCGCCCTCTCCGGTCCCAGAGTCTGCATTGCGCCGTAATTGTACGAAACGGCGCTCATTCCGAACTCGATTAAAGCTCAGTAGGGAGACCGGGCTCGCTTCGACGAAGACTTATGCCCGCGGTGTTGCGTTTAACCCGAGATCGTACGGGCCGCTCGTACGGGGAATTCGTGACCGTAACTCAAAGTCAGCTGTGCCGCGTTAAACGGAAACGTACTACTTACAACATGGCGCATCCACCGGCCTCCGGAACAGATGCGCCTGCGCCAAGGGTTGTTCGCCAAAATTTATTCTTCGCCCAAGTATCCATTTAGGGGCCGTTCATAAATTACAAGCGGTGATTTTCTTCACGACACTCCCCTCTCCCCGTTTTACATTAAACAGGGTGAGGCCCGTTTCCTGGGTGAACCAACCCAGAAGACAGCTGATACGCGATAACCTGATTACTTGCAACATTATGATTTCGTAGACGTTTCCCCCTTTTGGGTATAACTTTCCGTAGACGTGGCCCGAGAATGTGGGAGTACAAGTTTGTTGACGAATTCTTTAATGTTTCTGATAGGCTGGTATTTAGGTTAGGTTAGGTTAGGTTAGGTTAGGTTAGGTTAGGTTGTGGCATCGATGATGGGGAACTCTGGCACTTTCCAGCTCCTAGATTGCGGTATCCTTTCTAGACACTTCGGCTTATTTTCAGTATCTTTGTAGTAGCGGTGATCGCATTGTAGTTGTTCGTTTTTGTTTTATCGTCAACGTCCACGGGCTTCTCTGGCGATCGCCAAGCCAAGCACTGATAGCGCCCAACGTTGATTATTTTCGGTGATCGAGGAAGAGCCAATGCTTCCAACGGTCACGGTAGCATAGGGTGTGCAAATTTGTAGGTTATAAGGAGGATGGATACCTCGAAAGTAGAGCTTTATTTCATAAGGGTTTGTATATTTCATTTGTGTGGCACGTTATTGGACCTACCTTCTTATCCTCGTTAACCGATTTGAGAGCTTTAAGGTGAAGTGAAACACGTCGAGGAACTTGATCGACGTCGATAAAGATTTTTCTAAGTGCCTACGTTGCCGACGTTCTTTTGTATATTGACAGCTGTGCCGAATTATATTGGGTATTGTACCAAATGACATACTCCACCTGTCGTTTTCCTACAATAATTATAAAGAAATCGAAGTAAAACTCCAGAAATCCTCTGGATTCATGCTTTCTGGGGCCCTAATTGACTGCAGAGGGACCCCCTGCGCCATCTGTGATTTCCAGGTCAATTAAATTTTCACTCCGAGACCTCGTATTACCATCGTTTTTGCATAGAAGCGCATACAACTCTTTTTTTGCCTTTATCCCGTTCAAATGCGAGTTTATCGACTACCAGAGTGTTCTAAATTGTCGTAAAATTGTCCTGACCCTTTCGATTCTCATATCAGAGCCTTCGATAATTGTACATTGATCGAAATATGAGAGCTCGACGCCATGTTGGTTCTCGTCTGGGCCGAGTTAAAAAATTTTGTTAAAAAATCCAAATTTTTAATGAGTCAGGACAATTCTTAGATGATCAGGAATTATGTGTCAAAGTTTCGGACAGTTTGGTCTAATACCCTTAAAAAAAAGTATTGTATTCGAATCGACTGATTTGAAGGGTGTTTCACTTCACCTTAACCCGCGCTTTCATCGGATTACTTTAATCGGCGGATCAACGGAAGAACGGCGTCGCTGAGCGATTAGAGCGCAAATTTCAGGTGCTAGGAAGAGAGCTAAACGCGCTGCAGTTAATTTAGCTCGGTCTAAATTAGCGAAATGCGGAGACGCGCGACGCGAATCGTGCTCGCCAATGGCGTCGGTTTGACCCCGAACGTCGACTTATGGAAATGTGGAGCATCTAGATATGAAAATGCTAAATCGAAGACGGAACTTTATCTCGATCACGGATTACGTAAGGAAAAGTACACCGGGCACAATTTCGAGAAGATCTTAATTTATTAGAACCCCAACTCTAGGTCTGGTTAAATTTTATGCCAGTATTGAAATGGTAAAACTCCGTATCCAATGGTCGATGGGTTGAGCACCATACGCGTCGAGGTACCTACTTGCGCATACGTGAATGGCACTTACCTTGATCGTCGCGTGGTAGGATCTTTCATGACCATGACCTCTGTGATTTCCCCGTATTTGGTGAAGTACTCTCTAAGGCTCTCTGAAAGCAGAAAAAGAACCATTTGAGGACCACAGGTTAAACCAATTAGTGAAGCACAGATGATTGTCAACGCTTTTCTATAGTTCTTGGGTTCAAGCACAATACAGCCTCGGAACCGAAGATTGCGAATTATTGCAACACGGTCATGTGAGGAGGGAATTAAAAATCCCCCTAATTGATTATGAATAATTAGAGAATAATCAATTTAAGTATCTCGTTGAAGAAGTAATTTCCCGAAATGGCGTTCCTCTGCATTGTTTAATCCCACACGACCCTCCACCCTATTGGGAAGATTTTTCCGTCGATTTAGAGAGTTTTCCGGAAGTTCTCGCGGGGGAACGATGGGTTGCCTCCGTCGCTGTTACCGTCCCGATTTCCGAAACTAATGGCCGCCAAGGAAAGAGTCAAGCGAGGAAGATCGAAGGAATTTCCAGGGGATCGCAAGGAACGGCCGCCGTTACCGACAAACAAATTAACCGATCTGCTCTCGCCGACTTTATCGACGCGCCGTAACTCTCTCGGGAAAGCGGGACCGTAAAGTAGGGAATCGTTGAGCGGCAAGAGATTTACGGCGAAATCAAACTCCGAAGTCGTTAGCGCTCTCGTCTATTAATTCGTTCGCCGCCAGAGGGCGCCGGGCGCCTTTAAGTGCGGATGGTCGTCAATCGCTCCGGGAAATCGGCGGAAATTCACCCCGGAGACGGCGATCGGCTCGATCCGATCGATCCATGATCACCCGCGGCTCGCAAAGAGAGCTCGAACCTTCTCTACTACGGAGCTGCACTCCAAGAACTGAATAAAAAATTATTACCTCCCGAGATTCAATCGAGAAGACCGAGGTTAGTTGTTACATCCCAAGCTTAGTAAAGTCTTACAAGTCCTCCGCTAAACTTGGAATCCTCGGCATTTCATTATCCATAAAGCAAATCCTTGGGTACATTTGGTATTTCTTTTCACTTTTACGTAAATCTGTTAAAATGCTCCCTAGTATTAAGGTGAAAGTACTATGCGTAACGGAAAACTAACTGTAACGTCATACTCCCTGTAACAATTATTTCTGATTTCACTTACTTGATACATTTTGAATGTACCTAGACAGTTTCATTTGTGTAGGCAATAAGACAGGTAGATGGTGTATATTTTTGAATCCTCCCACTTGGCAAGGATTTGATACTAATTAGAAAACGGTAATGCAGCAGGGAGTAACCGTTTTAAACACGTGGGATACTTTGGCCGCTAATGAGAATTATGCAATTTAGCAATTATGTCATTTGTATCTACTACATTCGGTATCGCATCACTATATTTGATCAGGAGATGAAATTAACATTTTACTTTCATTATTAAATTTTACCCTCGGTGATTAAATTCAATGGAAAAAATAAAAAACAGATTTGATTGGCTTGGAATACGACCCAGCGTGAACTGGTGTAAGTGATGCGGAAGAAATTAAAGAGCTGTATAACGGAAAATAAAAACCTTCGATGTCGCGTTAACGGAAGATCGTGTTTGAATATCGAGCCTAATCGACCGAGCTAATTTACGGGCTACACTGTCAAATTCACCGTAAAATGCGCGAGGTTACTGACGTGGCAATATTTTCATGACTATTGAAGATGGCGACTTAATTTCTCATTTGCTTTCTAATAATAAAGAGAAATTGATACGCATACTCTGATTTTTAATCGGAATTAGATACTTTATAGTGATTTTGTCCCGCGCAGACGCATGAAATTAAAAAAGGAATTTTATGTACACACGTAAAAAAAAATCTCTCGAGATTTAAGTCTGCCCTCAGATTTCCTACTCTCGAGCTTTTCCTTACGCGGCACGCTACCAATTTACAGGCTGCACTGTAAAATTTACCGTAAAATTCTCAAGAATACTGACGCGGCAATATTTTCATGACTATTGAAGATGGCGACTTAATTTCTCATTTGCTTCCCGAGCGCAATAAAGAGAAATTGATACGCATACTCTGATTTTTAATCCTAGTTAGATACTTTATAGTGATTTTGTTCAGCGCAGACGCATGAAATTAAAAAAGGAATTTTATGTACACACGTAAAAAAAAAAATCTCTCGAGATTTAAGTCTGCCCTCAGATTTCCTACTCTCGAGCTTTTCCTTAAGCGGCACGCTACCAATTTAGCGACTCCCGCTAGCCCGTTAATTACTTCTTAATTTTAATGGCGCCACGAAGATGGACTTCTCTCTTCGAGCCGTTTCCTCTTTGGAGAAGTCCCCCTCCGTCTTTCATAGTTTCCCTAGTAACCAAGAAAAGGTGGGGGGAGAAAAAACGGTGAAAGAAGCCGAGAATCGCGATTCGCCTGGCACGGAGGGCGCCGGGGATATTTCCAGGAGATTTCAGCCAAAAGGAAGAGGATCGGGAGGGAAATATCTCTCGCGGACTAACGGAGAACTTCGCAAACACTCGCTAAACCTATTCCCGGATGTTCCTCGAGGATGAATTAAGATAAGTCCGAAGTTGGGAAGTTTTTAAAGTCGGACCGGGGTAGGGAATCCGGCACCATAAATGATTTCCCCGGAATCTACACGCTCGTCGCTTAACCCGTTTCCACCGCCGACTTTAGTTGGCATCTATGCGAAAGCTTTTGGATCCGAGTGCCGACTATTGTCCATATCCACATACCGAACCGTCGATCCTCCATACAGAGAAAGCACTGATTTGCGTATTTAATAAAATGAAAGTACTAACATATTTAGCAAAAATAGTTGACTTCCATTTATTATCAAAAGAGAAAACGGTTTGAATTATTTTTGCAATTCAAGAAAGAAAGAAGAACGTATTTGGCGAAGTTTAATTACACCTACGGTGTTTTTTGAGGAGTTGCGCTAATTTCAGAGGAACGGCGAATACATCTTGTGCAAAAAAGAAAGCGCAAGTGGATTAGTGAAATTTGTAAAAGGAAAGAAATTGAAGGCGACTTCGCGACGTTATACAAAGAGCTAACAAAAAGCAAAGGCGTTGCAGGACATTTATTAATATTCGTATTAATCTCTTTTCTCATTTTACCGTTTTGTCCAAAATTTCGAATATCTAGTTTCGTAGAAATTTTCACGTAAAAATGGTCTACCGCGAAATGTAATATACATTTGTTCGGTTTTTATTTCAAGTACCATTGTTTCCGACTTAATTACGTATTTTGTATTCTACTATTCTACTATTTGTACTTTTACACGACCGCTCTTTAGAAATTGGAGTAGTTGAAAAATCATCACGCGTTCGTTTCGAGTGCCGTAGTCTCTGGTTTAACCTTGCATTTGTAGTCGAAATATCGAACCCTTTCCGACCAGAAGTCGTTATCTCGGGTCGGAAACGCTAGGGACATGTTAGAACCGACCTTAAGTCAGGATCCCGCCGGCATTAGAGTCTCCGGACTGGAAGCAGGCAAAAGACAGGACTCTCAATCCGGGATCCTGCCGGAGTTTCCGCGGGATCCGCGGTTTCGGGCCCCGGGATCGGACGTCCTGGCGGAAATCCTGGATCGCCGGGGCAGGAGGAAGAGCTCGGTGGGGAGATTAGCCCTTTGTCCAGCGGTGACCCCCAACCCCCTGGCCCGGCCTCGGCCCCAGCCCAATCACCCCCGACGCCCCGGCCCTCCGTCGTCTGGCACTTTCCAAAGAAATTTTCAATTAAAGCAGCTGCCGCGCAGCGCCGGGCTCCTCTCAATTAACGAAACTTTCGCTCTGTTTAGCGCAAACAAAAGTAATTGCATTTTCGGCGGAAGCGATCCACCCCTGCCGCCCCGCCGACGCCCTGCGCGGATTAAACCTTCGGGGTATCAAGCTCGAGAAGAGGAGCGGCAGCACGCGAGCTTTTCGGCAATCGTCCCCCAACCCCCAACACTGGCGGCGACGCGCGCGCCCCCACTCGGCCAATTACCGAAACTTTCATAATTGCCGCCTCGACCCACCTCCGAGCTGGAAACTGAATTAAAACTTTACTTTTTCGCTGGTCTGGAAATCAAGCCCGCCGCCTGCGCGCGGTATCAGGCTCCAAGAATCGCGAGATTCGGGTCAACCCTGCCCTGATAGGACGCATCGCGTTCCTAACTTCGCGAATATGTTCCTCCTGGATACGGGGGGCGCAGCGGGTCAGGCAAATCTTTATTATGGACTTGAAAAACGGCCTGAAGATCGTTACGGCGATTTTAAGATCACCGTGGAAGATAGCGTGGGGCATTAGCGCTGATATTTGTGGCAGGCAGGGTATTAAGGGGGTTGCCAGGTTGTGAAACGCGGTTTAATCGGAGAACGGAATGGTGGAGGAAGTATTTGCTTACGGGGCTGCTTTATTTTCGTACTTCAAGGAGAATTTCAGATAAAAAGTGTTTTCATATGTTTCAAAATGGCGACTAATGGCTGCTGGAAGTTGTTCATTTCTTTTTTCGGGATTTAAATGATGCCAGGCGCACGGCGAGTTTGAGACAAAGGGTTCGAAGGATTTTAGAAACTGACGAAGATTATTTCAGAGCTGATGACATGAATTTTATAGGGACATTTTTATTCAAAAGATTGCAGCAAAGACACTAATGAAAAAATAATTACTATGGTCTTTCTCTTATTAGAATCTGAATTTTATTTTTATCGAGAGAAAACTGCGTCATGAGTTCTTAAATATTCTTTTCTAGTTTTTACAACCACCTTAACTCTTCTGGAATCACGAACGTGACGAAAAATCAGAAATTTTCAACGTCCGGAAGTTTTGCAACATTTTGCAACAATTAGAAACTTTTCATATTAAATTCTGTTTAAAACATCAGATAATACAACCCCTTCCGCAAATATTTCCTATACTTTTTTCGTCGTTTTTGAGCTCACTTTCATTTTGACAAAGTACTAATCCCCTTAAGGTATGACTGGGTGAAGGTATGAAAGGGTTGAGGTATTTTAAATGCAAGTCTATAACTTCGAGTTAATTAGACGCATTGCGAAAACGTATCGGCGAGGAAATTGCTATTATATTTTTGATGAGAC